CGGGGATTAGAGGCGTGTGCCACCATGTCTGGCTAGATTTAGTAACTCTTCAAAACCATAGATTAGTAACAAGAAAAAGTTTGTTATATTAGTTATACATGTACATGAGAATCTTCTCAAGAAAGTCTGAAGAAATGACCAGAGACAAATGGTTACCTGACCTAGGGGAATAAATTCTGGGGATATATATGGGGAAGGAAATGCAGACGCTAATGAAGACAAACTATTTTCTTCAGGTTCATTGTGGCCACAATTACCAGTCTCTGGTGACCAAGTTTAATTTCAGGTCGAAATGTGAAGGATATTCCTCACCTCTCTGGCTTGCTAATGGAAAATTAGATGGCCCTTCCTACAACTGCAGGTTCTCAAGTTATTTCACCTTAAAGTAAAACCTGTACCAATTTGGTACATTTTGTGATAGCACATCTCTAACTCCTTCATTATCAAGAATTCAGGCAGTATCCAGATAAAGTGTGATAGCAAAACTGCTTTCTGTTTATCTCAGCCCCCAGAACCCCACATTGAGTCTGTTCCTGTAGTCAGTTATAGAAGTGCATGTGTATACAGAGAGCAGTAGAAACCACAACTACCTGGATCTCCTGTGTCTCCAGTTTATGTTTCAGAATCAATGCAGTGCATTTGCTTTTTTCTTGCTTCTGCTTCCTTTGTAGCCTGTGACACCTCCCTAGACTTTGAACTTTGATAGTGTCATGGCAAAACTCCCTGAAAACCAGCACTGCATCTTAGAGTTTTTGCATTGTTACCCAAACTGAAAGTATAGAGTGGTAAGTGCTTATACCTTCCAGATGTCACAGACCATGTGAGATACATGATGCTATTCAGTGTTGACCTTGTTTAGTGTCTGTCCTGGCCCTTCAGAGTAGAGTTTAGCTCTTCAAGTCAGCTACCAAGTGTGCTTTTCCAGAACTACCATTTCCATGTGACTAGTAAGTAGATTAACTTTTCCTTGTCACAATTCCCCTGTATGAATGATGGGGACACAATCTTGCTTACCTTACAGGGCCTCTTCCTTTTTTTTTCCTTTAAATTTTTTTAAATAAATAGCCGGGCATGGTGGTGCATGCCTTTAATCCCAGCACTCGGAAGGCAGAGGAGGCAGATCTCTGTGAGTTGAGAGGCCAGCTTGGTCTCCATAGCAAATCCAGGCCAGCTAGAGCTACAAGGAGACCCTGTCTCAAAAAGACCAAAAAAATCCCAAATTTTTAAAAATCATTAAAAGACAGGGATGCAGACAGGAGATCATATATTTGTTGTTGTTGTTTGTTTGTTTGTTTGTTTTTGTTTGTTTGGGGGGTTTTTTTGGTCTTTTTTGAGATAGGGTCTCCCTGTAGCCCCAGCTGTCCTGGAACTCACTATGTAGACCAGGCAGGACTTGAACTCACAGAGATCCGCCTGCTTCTGCCTCCTGAGTGCTGGGATTAAAGGTGTGCGCCACGATGCCCAGCCAAAATATATTTTATGAAATTCACAAAAATTCAATTTAAAAAAAAGACAAAAATAAATAAAGCAGAAAACAAGCTGGCATGGTAGCACATCTTCAATCCCACAATTCAGATCCCTATGAGCTTGACACTAGCTGGTCTAAATAGAGTTTTTAAGCCTGTCAGGGCTACATAATGAAATTTTTGTCAAATAAACAAAT